TTTTTTCATAGCCTTTGATTTATGTCATATACACACACCTATTCTATACATATATCGCTATCTCATTATTATAGGTTAATACTTTCCTCTTATGCCTTATGGTATATAATTTATCTTTGATCAATTGATCAATTAGATATCAATTAGATATCTTTATATTAGTTTTTCCTTACCTAGTCTTCTCTAGATGTAATGGATTAGGAATTTCCCAAATTCCCAGCCAACATGTCGAAGAATTCTGGGAATTGAAGTCCAACATATCTGGATAGCATCAGATGTAAAGACTAAACCTTGGCAGTTTGATGTTGGATGGACTTCAGCTCCCAGAATTCCCCAGCTAGCATGCTGAAGTTGAAATCTTCAAATTGCCATAGTTGAAAAACACTCAACTAGACTATAGATACATTCTAATCCAAGGAAGGGGAAAGAAACCTGAAGAATGCATGCAACCCTATTTACTTAGTTATTTGATTTATATCTTGCTTTTTATATCTACATTGCCATGCTATCTTCCAATACCTCTAAGTAAGTCTGGACCATCAAAGGATGAAGAGGGATAATCTGAACTCACCATCGCTGTGATTTCATTAAATGACTGTAAGTATTCAACTATCTTGGACTTATGGGCAGGCTCTACCCGGGCAAAGCATCGAGCTGAACGGCAGGCATTGCTTTGGGCGTCTGGTGAGAGATCGTCAAATTCTCGGCCTGTGTATGCTTTGTCGGCCACCTTCTCACTCTCTGAGAAGATCCCAATCCTCCGGCAGATAGCCACGGCTGTCCCTTTGTTGTCTCCAGTGATCATGATGACACGGATACCCGCTTTCTTGCACATTTCGATAGATGACACCACTTCCTTCCGAGGAGGGTCCAGCATTCCCACGCAGCCAACAAAGGTCAACTTAGTCTGCAGGCAAAAGGGAATGAGGGAATACATCCTTCCAAAGTTTGATTTTCTACTTTCTTGAACTTTGGATCTAGGGGAAATGTTGTATCCTAAAAGGCAGAAGGTAACTGCTCTTGAACCAACAGAAACCAGACTTGGATGGTGCCACTTCCCCTCAGAGCAAACTACTCAAAGTAGCAACTCTACTGACATGTTGATTTTAATCTGACAGACTGTACCTAGAAGAGGTGAACCTTACAACCATGTGCCTCCCCTTAATAACCTCAGAACCCCTCGCACAATTTCTCTTGAAAATGTATTGCTGTCACCTATTTTTAAGTGACAAACTTATTTTACTGTATCAAAAGTCTTTAAAAGACTTAACTTTTCAGTATAATTTATGGCTTGTTTAGATTTATAGGGGTGGGTAGATTTTGCAAGGGAAGGATATTTGATTTTACATTTGGGATGCAACTTTGCCTTCCTTTTTGTGAGTGTGATCTCAACAGCATTTGCCTAAAAGGTTACCCAGCCTTCTTCCAAATGTATAAGGACACACCTTTTAGAAGATTCCTTATAATCCACCATCGTGAAACCATAGAGCTGGAAGAGACCATAGAGGTTATCTAATCCAATGTAAGAACCACCAAAGCATCTCTGGTGGTTGGTCATCCAGTCTCTGTTAAGACCTCAGCAAAGACAAACTACCAAGTAACATGGCAGCTTATTCCACTGGCTGACAGCATGAACAGTGAGAAAGTTCTTTGTGCTTTTTAATTTGAGTCTCCTTTCTTGAAAATTTAATCTTCTGGTTCTGCCCTCTGGATAACAGAGAAGAAATCAACTCCCTTCTCCCACCTCCAGATATTGGAAGATTGCTATCAATTCTCACCTCCAAATTATCTTTTCTGTAAACTAATCCTATCTAGAGGTTTTAACCATTACCCATAAATCCCAAAGGTGCTTTTTCAGGAGGCAACTGAACTTTCTTGGGGGGTTTTTTTGGAAGACGTTTTCCTTCTTATCCAAGAAACTTTTTTAGCTCTGACAGGATAGTGGGGAATAGAAGGATTTATATAGAAGGAATATAGAAGAAAGAAAGTCCAGTTGCCTCCTGAAAATGCACCTTTGGGACAACCATGACCTGGATGACTGAGAATCTCTACAGAACATTACCCATAAGGCTTAGTTTCCAGAACCTTCATCCTTTTAGTAGGTCTTCTCTGAACCTGCTGCAACTTGTCACTGCCCTTTATGAATTGTAGAGCCCAGGATAGGTAACAATGCTCCAAATCAGTGGTGGTATTCTACCGGTTCGGCCCGGTTCTGGTATTCCGGTAGCGCCGAAGATTAGCTGGCAGAGAACTGGTTCTATCGGAGTGTCTCCGACACTCTGCAGTTGGGCCCACCCACCCGTCTGCTCCTGCTCCTAGGTCCTTTTCAACCTCTCAGCTGTTTGGCATGGCAGAGCGGATTGCTGTGCTAAACAGCTGAGAGGCGCAGTAGCTTAGTTTTTACTGTTTGGCACGCCTGTGCGCGATCGCGTGAGTCCATCCCTGTAACCACGCCCACCAAGACCTGCCCACAGAACCTGTGGTGGGAACTTTTGACTCCCACCACTGCTCCAAATGGGATCTGATCATAGTAGAGAGGGACAATTATTTCCTATGATTTGGATGTTATGCCAAGTACATCCAATGTACTCCAAAATTGTTTTGCCTTTTTAGCAACTGAGTCGCCGTACTGGCTTATACAGGTAGTCCTTGATTTATAACCAATTGCTTAGTGACCGTTGGAAGTTATGATGGACACCCCCTCTGGGCAAAGGTACTCACAACTTAGAAAGTCTTCTCGCCCGCCCCGCCAGAAGTCATATAACTGAATTTCGGATACTCAGAAGCCAGCTCACATTTATGGCCATTTGCAGCATCCCATAGTCTTGTGACTGTGATTTATGTTAGCAAAAATGCTCCATAGTGAATAATGGGCTCAATTACTGACTGTGGCATTTGCCTAAGGACCATGGGCTCCCTTAACGACTACCACAAAAAAAGTCATAAGATCAGGTTTGTCACGTGAGGATTGCTTTAGAGCTGTCACAACTTATGACCATAATGGGCAGGCTCTGTGACTATCATAAGTCAAGGACAAGCTGTTTGTAATATAGTAGTCCTTGACTTTGACCACAATTGAGCCCAAAATTTCTGTTGCTAAGCAAGATAGTTGTTAAATGAATTTTACCCTATTTTATAACTTTCTTGCCACAGTTGCTAAGTGAATCACTGTAGTTGTTAAGTTAGTAACACGGTTGTTAAGTGAATCTGGCTTCCCCATTGACTTTGCTTGTCAGGTTACAAAAGACGATTACATGACTTCAGTAGAGATAGGAAGGCCTGGGGGAGGAAAAGGAAAAATTCGGGGGAAAACAGTTTTTTTCTGCTGTTTCCCCCCCAAAAATTTTTTTTAAAAAAGAGTGTAGAATATGTTCTTTTCCAATGATAAATAATATATTTATGACATGGTATTTAAACTATAAAAACACTTAATGAAAGTTTTCTGAGACTTTTTGTAAAGTCTTAAATTATTGCAAGTTCTCTCAGCTGAAGACAAACAAAAGTAATCTGTAATCATGGGATACAATTCAAGTAACACTGTACTTGACAAATGTATCTTTTCTTTTATGTATACTGAGAGTATTTACACCAAGACAAATTCCTTGTGTGCCCAATCACACTTGGCCAATAAAGAATTCTATTCTATTCTACTTCTCAATGCAGTTCTCAGATAAGAGAAATGTGCATTTGTGCCACTAGGGGGCACTGCAGGGAAAAGGCTAGAGTTTAGTTTGCTAAATTAATTAAACCTAGTTTCTGTCCTCCTCTTAGCTTAAGGCTCACTCCAGGACATTGCAACTATCCTAAATACGTGCCAGTTGTATGCCAAACATCCGAATTTTGATCACGTGACCATGGGGATGTTGCAAGGGTCATGAGTGTGAAAAATGGTCATAAGTCACTTTTTCAGTGTTGTTGTAATGTCGAACGGTCCCTAAATGAAGGATTGTAAAAGTTGAGGACTACCTGTAGGGCCTTTAAAGAACCTCTTACCCGCTAGCCCAGGGGTGTTAAACTCAAGGCCCGGAGGCTAGATCCGGCCTGCGGGGTGCTTAGATCTGGTCTGCAGGGCCACTCTGGAAATGATGAAGGATCGGCCACAGAAAATGGGCTCCTGAGCTTTGTTTTTGGCTGTGACGGCCTGCTACAACCCTCTGCCAGCAACACTCGGGTCCTCCCAAGCTCTGTTTTCATTGGCAGAGGGTTGCAGGAGGCCGTTGCAGCCAAAAATGGAGCTTGGGAGCCCGTTTTCTCTGGCAGAGCACTTTGGCCACCACAGGTGCCCCCGACAAGAATGACATCGAGAAAATTAAGGATAATAATGAAGTGTAATGTAAAATAAAATAGGTGGTAAGCTGAAAATGGAAATAATAGGGGATAAAGAATTGGAAACATGTGTGGACAAAATGATATTGATATTGAATTCATGAACTGAAATATGAAATGCAAATTTATTTAAAGATGAGTGAAATGGACAATAACATGAGATGATATTATATAAGATTAATGGAAATGAAAGCATGGCTATGTACAAGTGTTATAATCTGGAAACATGTTGCTCATGTGAAGAGATGTGTAAAAATAAAAAAATAATAAAAAAACTTTTTACAAAAAAAAGAAGAATGACGTCGAGCTGGCCACGACTAATGCAGCCACGCTCACCCTGGCCCCCCGAGGTAAAACATAACCCTGATGCGGCCCTCAATGAAATCGACTTTGACACCCCTGCTCAAGCCAGCCTCACTTACTTCATAGTTAATGAACTGGCTGGAGTCATCTAGATGCATGTCCTCTTTCCGAGGTGGATGGTCTCTTGTGGCCAAGGCGAGACAGCGTAAAGTGTCGATGCCGGTACCCCATTCCCGGATCCTGGACAGGATCTTCTCTTTGATGGAAGAAGTCAAAGGGACTTGGTTTCTGCCAACACGAACGTAAGTGCAGCGCTCAATGACACTTTCTGGAGCGCCCTTGAGAAAGAAAAGAAGTGAACATTACATGTAACATATAATTAGATGAAACTTTGTGTTATTTATTAATGTAATAAGTGTAAATGATTATGCTACATAATTTGAGAGATGTCAGATTGAGTGAACACTGTCTTGCTCACATTGCGATAAATGGAATGTTTGGTTTTATTGTATTTGTATAAATTCGTTTAATAAAGTATTTTTATCAAAAAAAAAAAAAAAAAAAAAGAGAGAGAGAGAGAAAGAAAAGAAATGAAATTTCTAAACTGACCCAGATGATCAAGCAGGTAAACTCTTGGAGACTTATGGAAAGTGTGTGTGTGATTTTAAACCCTGTAAATCTTGAGTTGGGTGAAGCTTTGCCTTCTTTCCAAAAGTTTTAGCCTAATGTCATTTATTCATCTAGTCAAAGAAGAAATTAGTAAACACTTGAGTAGTAAAGAAATGAAGGGCATTCAACATACTTAGGAGTTTATTTTAGTTCAAATTTATGTCTGTGATCTGATTAGCTTACATTTGAGGATGTGATGTCTGTGCTCACTACTCAAAGGCCAAAGGCCATTGCTAAAATGTGTGAAAAATACATGTTTCTTCTTGCAAAGAGTACTTAATTTATTAGGTCAGAATGCCTATTTTCTCTCTCCAAATAAGTTATGCATTGAAAACTAATCAAAGACCACCCCCTAGTGGAAACGCAGGACTTTAAGGGAATCTCTAGGAGATTCAGTCAAAATTTATTTTGAAACGCAGACACTCATTCTTTTTCAAGATGTGTCAGACTTATCAGGGAAAGGGAAGAAAGAATGGGGAAAAATCTGATAGGCACACATCATTTCCTTGCTTAAAGCAAAACCATTTTGCTACTAAAGAGACAAGAGTTCAATCCTCTAGAGCAGGGGTGTCAAACTCACGTTGTCATTGTGGCATCACAAGACATATAGGGACTTTTCCCCCCTTTGCTAAACCGGGCATGGGTGTGGCCAGCGCATGATGCATCCAGCCCGTGGGCTGGAAGTTTGACAGTCCTGCTCCGGAGCAAAATGGGTAACACTCCTTTACAACCTGTGAATTTCAACTCCCAGAATTCCTAAGCTAGCATGACTGGCTGGCTGAGGAATTCTGGGAATTGAAGTCCACAGGTCATAAAGGGTCCATAATTGCCCACCCCATGGCATTCTAGAGCAGTGTTTTTCAAACTTGGCAACTCTAAGAAGCCTGGGCTTCAATTCCCAGAATTCCCATTCTGGCTGGAGAATTCTGAGAGTTGGTCCACGCATCTTAAAGTTGCCAAGTTGAAAAACACTGCTCTAGTCCCTAAAGGAGTTCCTCCTCTTGACACATCACAGCAAACTCATCGATACATTAGAGGGAAGGGCTGAGGAATTTGAGGGGAATGTAAATTCTAAAAATATTAAATATTTTAGGAATAAAGAAAACTATCCAAAGGATGGGTGTGAGGAAATGAAGAGAGAAATGAGAACATGTAATGAGGACTGAGAGAAGAAGAAGAAGAAGAAGAAGAAGAAGAAGAAGAAGAAGAAGAAG